GCCAACAAGGCGATGACCGCCGATGAGGGGAGGGCGGAGTGGCGAGGATGGCCTGGGAGCCCCGCTAGCGGCAGAGGCTAGCGGGCCAGCCGATAGACGTGGGCAGAGGTTGAGGAAGGTAATCCGACCGTTCATTTTGCATCGGACGGTTCAGTACAAATGAACTGGCTCAATTTTTACTATTTTCTTCAGTCAACTGTTCCCTAGCCAAGCCCTTATTTTGCTTCATTTGAAATACACCATGTTTCTCTTCCAAAAACATGTACAGTGCATAAATACGTAGTAGTAATTGAAAGCGACGGTTCTGATTTCCGACCCTCCCAATCCAATCCACAATAAACCACTCCCTCCAAAAATCCATCCATCCATCTTTCCGCTGTGTCCGGCACCGCCACCCTCGCCGCACGGCGCCTCTCCCGCCGCCGCCTCCTCCACCGCCGCGCCTATTTAACCACCTCACTCGCTCCCCCGCCGGCCCAACTGCAAGCTCCGCCATGCACGCCCACGCCCCCCACGCCCTCGGCCTCCGCGTCCCTCCCCCCGCGTTCCCCCGCCGCCGCGCTCGCCCGCGCCGGCGCCCCGCCGCGGACGTCCGCGCCTCGGCGGCCACCTCGGCGGCGCCGCAGAGAGAGACGGACCCCAGGAAGCGGGTGGTGATCACGGGGATGGGGCTGGCGTCGGTGTTCGGGAACGACGTGGACACATTCTACGACCGGCTCCTGGCCGGGGAGAGCGGCGTCGGGCCCATCGACCGGTTCGATGCCAGCAGTTTCCCCACGAGGTTCGCCGGGCAGATACGGGGGTTCTCGTCGGAGGGGTACATCGACGGCAAGAACGACCGGAGGCTCGACGACTGCATCCGGTACTGCATCCTCAGCGGCAAGAAGGCGCTCGAGAGCGCCGGGCTCAGCGCAGGATCCGACGCGCACGGCAAGGTGAGTGAGACGGAGAGCGGGGCGCGCCCTTGCCTCCGAATGAACTGAGCTCTCTGTTTTATGTGGACATTGCAGAAATAGTAGACTCTTGAGTTGAAATCATTTCCAGTTGTTTTCTTTGGCTTAGTGGAAATTTTTGTAGAAAATGTTTGGCTTGGTTATGTTATGTTTGGCATCAATTTTTATCTCCCTGAAAGCCCTTCTTGGTGCAACATACGAGTGTAGATTTCACTTCAAGACAAGCTTTGATTTATGAACAATGTAGGTTGTGATTGTGTTACATGTGTGTGACTGGCCGATGACTGTAAATCAGTATGAAAAGTTTATTTCTGTATGATTTATCTTTTATCTGAATCAGTTAGGACGATGACTGGACTGAAAATTCAGTGATCACTATTCAAATACTTGGGTACTAAATTTGAGTGCTCAAATCAAAATGCCCCAAAAGGGGCAACGTCATTGGTTGTCAATAGGAAAAAGGTCTAATTGGATTTAGTTTGAGAAAAAAAGTATGGCTTCTTTTTGGGCAGTTTTACACCCTATAGGTTTGTTAGAAATGGCTATACATATTTGTAGCTTGATATTTGTTGAAGAAAATACAGGTTTATCTTGTTGCTTGTGAGATGATCTCATAGTTTCTTTCAAAAGGAAATTTTCTTGATGGCTTGGGAAGGAAAGAAAACCGAGACAGATAAATTTGTGTTTCTTGGTGTAAACTATTGTTCACAGATTTTATATGATCCGAACCTGCTTTGCGCATAAGCTCCTAAATCACTGCAGATGGTTTGCGCCCTAAAATCCCTGTGAACTTGTGTGAGTTCAACTTCAATAATCTCCGTCTGACGCATGTTTGTAGATAGCATAGCACTTGTCTGAAATCATAATCATCTGTTGGTTGCAACAACAGATCATACAAAAAAGTTAGAGGTGAATCCCTGAATTTATTTGATGGTCCCTTATGCAGTTGGTTAAGTTGGTTGCTTCTTCTGCCCGATAGGCTGTCAATAGGTGGCTAGTCTACCATCATTTCCATACTGCCATAAATTCCACATGTTCTCTAGGTTTCTGTTGGTTCATTTTTGATCCCGTCTTTTGAAATGTCTCTTTCGCTAATGACTTCATTGTTAACAGCTTGATGTGGGGCGGGCTGGTATTCTTGTGGGTTCTGGCATGGGTGGCCTTTCAGTATTCTCCGATGGTGTTCAGAATCTTATCGAGAAGGGATACAGAAAAATTTCACCTTTCTTTATCCCATATGCTATAACTAACATGGGTTCAGCCTTGCTTGCCATGGATGTTGGTTTCATGGGCCCCAACTACTCAATTTCAACTGCGTGTGCAACCTCCAACTACTGCTTTTATGCTGCCGCAAACCATATTCGTCGTGGTGAGGCTGATATCATCGTCGCTGGTGGAACTGAAGCTGCCATCATTCCAATCGGCCTTGGAGGTTTTGTAGCATGTAGAGCACTATCACAAAGGAACGATGACCCAATAACTGCATCTAGGCCATGGGATAAAGAGCGAGATGGCTTTGTTATGGGTGAAGGTGCCGGTGTACTGGTATGGTCGATTAACAAAAAGAATCTCATGTTTTTAAATATTTTTATGTACTTTAGAATCATTTTAGCTGTCTGCATTCCTTTTTTTTGTGTTTGTTGTTTGCTTCAGGTTGTTACATTTATTCTCAGTTCGCCACCATGAACTTCAGTCATCAATTAGATCCTACTGCTATTAGCGATATGTAACACTTAAACGGTGAAACTCTTGTTCGACAATAGGTTATGGAGAGCCTGGAGCACGCAATGAAGCGTGATGCACCAATAATTGCTGAATACTTGGGAGGTGCGGTCAACTGTGATGCTTACCATATGACTGATCCTCGATCAGATGGACTGGGTGTATCATCCTGTATTACAATGAGTCTCAGAGATGCAGGTGTTGCACCAGAGGAGGTATATCTTGAATCAACGGCCCAGCCAATTTTTGTATAGCTGCAGTTTTTTTTCCTTCCTAGCACGAGTCTAATATCAGAAGTCAAAATATTAGTGTGACAGATACGCACGTTGAAATTTTCATCTGGGGGTCCCATCGGCAAGATTCTTGTTTCTTAAG